CACTTATGGATCTAAAGGCAGAGGAGGCCTGGGATTACTTTAAATCAAAGCTGCAGAAGCTATCGGAAGCCTGCATCCCAAGAAAGGGGAAAAAATTCATAGGCAGTAGTTGTAGACCATGACTTATGAGGAGAAGCTGTGGGAACTGGGATTGTGTAGTCTGCAGAAGAGAAGAATGAGGAGGGATTTGATAGCAGCCTTCAATTACCTGAAGGGGGGTTCCAAAGAGGATGGACCTAGGCTGTTCTCAGTGGTGGCAGATGACAGAACAAGCAGCAAGGGTCTCAAGTTGCAGTGGGAGAGGTCTAGATTGGATATTAGGAAACACTATTTCACTAGGAGGGTAGTGAAGAACTGGAATGGGTTACCTAGGGAGGTGGTGGAATCTCCTTCCTTAGAGGTTTTTAAGGCCCGGCTTGACAAAGCCCTGGCTGGGATGATTTAGTTGGTGTTGGTCCTGCTTTGAGCAGGGACTTGGACTAGATGCCCTCCTGAAGTTTCTTCCAACCCTAATATTCTGTGATTCTATGATCTCAGCATGGGTGGTATGCCAATTAATGAAGCACTCCTTGAGCTAGCCAGGTTCATCTGGCAAATTACAACAACGCCTCCCGCCCATGCAAGAGGGGTGATAAAAAAATATTATGTCTTGGCCAGAGATTGTGAGTTTTTATTTTCTTATCCAGCACCAAATTCTTTAGTCATGAATCCAGTCAATGAAAGGGGAAGGCAACATACCCAAAACGCTACCTCTTATGATAAGGACCAGAAATGTTCAGTATGGGATAGCTAACCACCAGGCACTGATGTCAAAATATGTCTACCTGAACTACAGAAGCTTAATGCTTCTATTCACCATTTACCCCAGGAACATCAAGAACAATTCAGAGCCATAATAAAGGAGGATCAGCTTAGCAAAAACTTCACTGAAGTCTTCACTCAATGTAGTGTATACTGCAGCCAGGTCTATTTCCACCTCAGTAGCAATGGTGTGAGTTTCTGGCTTCAGTTGTCTGAGTTGTCAGAAAAGCAGACTTTGACTCCCTCAGGGAACTGATGGGCAGGATCCCCTGGGAGAATAACATGAGGGGGAAGGAGTCCAGGAGAACTGGCTGTATTTTAAAGAATCCTTATTGAGGTTGCAGGAAGAAACCATCCCAATGTGTAGAAAGAATAGTAAATATGTCAGCTTGCTTAACAGTGAAATCCTTGCTGATCTTAAACACAGAAAAGAAGCTTACAAGAACTAGAAGACTGGACAAATGACCAGGGAGGAGTATAAAAATATTGCTCAGGCATGCAGGAGTGAAATCAGGAAGGCCAAATCACACTTGGAATTGCAGCTAGCAAGAGATGTTAAGAGTAACAAGAAGGATTTCTTCAGGTATGTTAGCAACAAGAAGAAAGTCAAGGAAAGTGTGGGCCCCTTACTGAATGAGGGAGGCAACGTAGTGACAGAGGATGTGCAGAGCATCCAAGGGTGCTAAAGGAGTTGGTGGATGTGATTGCAGAACCATTGTCCATTATCTTTGAAAACTCATGGCGATCAGGGGAGGCCCCGGAAGACTGGAAAAAGGCTAATGTAGTGCCCATCTTTAGAAAAGGGAAGGAGGAGGATCCAGGGAACTACAAGCCAGTCAGCCTCACCTCAGTCCCTAGAAAAATTATGGAGCAGGTCCTCAAGAAATCAATTCTGAAGCACTTAGAGGAGAGGAAAGTGATCAGGAACAGTCAGCATGGATTCACCAAGGGCAAGTCATGCCTGACTAACCTAATTGCCTTCTATGATGACTTAACTGGCTCTGTGGATGAGGGGAAAGCAGTGGATGTGCTATTTCTTGACTTTAGCAAAGCTTTTGGTACGGTCTCCCACAGTATTCTTACAAGCAAGTTAAAGAAGTATGGGCTGGATGAATGGACTATAAGGTGGATAGAAAGCTGGCTAGATTGTTGGGCTCAACGGGTAATGATCAATGTCTCCATATCTAGTTGACAGCCGGTATCAAGCAAAGTGCCTCAAGGGTCAGTCCTGGGGCTGGTTTTGTTCAATATCTTCATTAATGATCTGGAGGATGGCGTGGACTGCACCCTCAGCAAGTTTGAGGTTGACACTAAACTGGGAGGAGGGGCAGATACTCTGGAAGGTAGGGATAGGATACAAAGGGACCTAGACAAATTGGAGGATTGGGCCAAAAGAAATCTGATGAGGTTCAACAAGGAGAAGTGCAGAGTCCTGCATTAGGACGGAAGAATCCCATGCACTGCTACAGACTAGGGACCAAGCAGCTAGGCAGCAGTTCTGCAGAAAAGGACCTAGGGGTTACAGTGGACGAGAAGCTGGATACGAGTCAACAGTGTGCCCTTGTTGCCAAGAAGGCTAACGGCATTTTGGGCTGTATAGGTAGGGGCATGGCCAGCAGATTGAGGGACATGATCATTCCCCTCTATTTGACATTGGTGAGGCCTCATCTGGAGTACTGTGTCCAGTTTTGGGCCCTACACTACAAGAAGGATGTGGAAAAATTTGATAGAGATTTGATAGTTCCTTTCAACTACCTGAAAGGGGGTTCCAAAGAGGCTGGATCTAGACTGTTCTCAGTGGTACCAGCTCACAGAACAAGGAGTAATGGTCTCAAGTTGCAGTGGGGGAGGTTTAGGTTGCATGTTAGGAAAAACTTTTTCATTAGGAGGCTGGTGAAGCACTGGAATGGGTTACCTAGGGAGGTGGTGGAATCTCCTTCCTTAGAGGTTTTCAAGGTCAGGCTTGACAAAGTCCTGGCTGGGATGATTTAGTTGGGGATTGGTCCTGCTTTGAGCAGGAGGTTGGACTAGATGACCTCCTGAGGTCCCTTCCAACCCTGATAGTCTATGATTCTGTTAGTTTCCACAAGAGGTTCAATTGACCATGGAAGATTTATCTTTCGATGGCCATAAGCTTTTTGCAGACTTCGCGAATGACTCGCTTCATATCCTAAAGAACTCTAGAGCAGCTTGCAAATGAGAGGACATTTAGCAGGTCTCAGTTAGCACAAACATCCCGCCCTGCTCAATTTTTTGCTTTCTGTAGGCCACCAGTACCACTGGTAAGAGGTTGAGGTTTTGAAAGAAAAAGCCTAGAACTATCTTGACTGCTTCATGCCAATCTTCAACATTGTCCAAACACCAGTTTAGATGGTTTGGTTGAGAGTCCAAACCACCAAATGACCAGGTTTTTCCCAGCTGCGTGACACAACCCCAGTCCTCAATTTGGACACCTCCTCTGTCTTTTTCAGGAAGCATGAGGGACTATAACATCAGACAAATGGGTGTTAGAGGCCATAACTTTGGGCTATACTATCCAAATTACCTCCATCATGCCCTTCCAACCCCCATCCCTCTTCAGGGACTGCCTCTCACTGTCAATTGCTGACACAGAAGATCTCATTGCTTCTAGGAGCCATAGAACCAGTCCCACCTCAATACAGAGGAAAAGGGTTCTATTCAAGATATTTTCTGATACCCAAGAAATAATGGGGGTTGGAGGCCGCTATTAGATGACAGACAATTGAACAAGCATGTTGACATCTGAAATTCAGGATGGCATCCCTAGCAGTTATAATTTCCTTCCTGGAATTAGGGAACTGGTTTGAAAGCCTTGATCTCAAAGATGCCTATTTTCTAATAGGGTTTCATCCCACAAAAGATTTCTTCATTTCACATTCAATCACAATCATTACCAGTACAATGTCCTACCCTTTGGCTTGTCATCTGCCCAGGGAGCTTTCTTAAAAATCATAGTGGTCATACCATGTTGTTTAGGAATAACTGTTTTTTCCTACCTCGACAACTGGCTCCTCAAGGGTCAATCATATCAGGAGGTTTGGTCAGCAGCTCAAACAACAACTTCACTATTCCAAAGTCTAGGTCTGCAGATAAATCTTAAGAAATCAATATTGACCCCCTACACAACAATTGTTTTTGGAATGTTTCCGGATTCAGTAACAGACCGGGCTTATCTCCCTCTTGACAGGCTCTTTGCTTTGAAGGACCTTATCCAAAAAGTGCAGCTCAGCCCTCAAGTTCCAGCAAAGATATGTCTGCAACTACTGGGACGCAGGGCAACTTGAGTTTTTGTGACAAAAAACACCATGTTGCATCTTTCATGTCTCCGGGGGTGGCTCAGGATAGTTTATGTACCCAACAAATACCGCTTGAACAAGAAGGTGTCTGTATTCAGCCAGGTCCTACAGTCACTCACCTGGTGCTCATCTTAATTAATTAGTCTCTTAGAGTTGGTACGGCAGCTTCCACCTTTTCATGTTCTCTGTATGTATATATATCTTCTTATTATATGTTCCATTCTATGCACCTGATAAAGTAGGCAGTAGCCCATGAAAGCTTATGCTCAAATAAATTTGTTAGTCTCTAAGGTGCCACAAGTACTCCTGTTCTTTTCGCAGATACAGATTAACACAGCTGCTACTCTGAAACCTATCATTAGTATCAAAGTATCAAGGTATCATTAGTGCGTCCACACTACCCCAAATTCGACCCACCGAGGTCTATTTAAGCACTAAACCCCCGGGAGGAGTATAGAAATCTATTTTAGGAGCCCTTTAAGTCAACAAAACAGGCTTGGTCGTGTGGACGGGTGCAGGGTTAAATCGACCGAATGCTGCTAAATTCGACCTAAACTCGTAGTGTAGACCAGGGCTAAGAGATGGTAGTTAAGTCAGCAGAAGAAGTCTTCTGTTGACCTAGCTCCATCTATACCAGGGGTTAGCATGACCTGACTATGGTGCTCAGGGCACAAAAATTTTCACAGTCCTAAGCAACATAGCTAGGTCAATCTAATTTTTTAGTGTAGATCAGGCATAAGTCAGTTTCTCAGGATCAGGGAGTAGCATTAAGCAACCTCATTGAGTTTTCACTTTGCTTTTCATTCTGTGCATCAGCTGTATCTCTGCATTATTTCCATCTAACCACACAAAATCTTCATATTTATTTTTCTGTCATTGTAGATGACGTCAGAAAATTATTAAGAGAGCTAGATGTCACAAATTCAGTCATAGCTCGGCTGGCACCAGAAGGTAACCTGCAATGCTCCTTTGTGTAAAAATACTGTCAAAAATAATTTACTTTCACTATCTGATCAGGCCATTTAATAAAAAGCTTTCTTGTAAGTTATGATTTGTCATAACACATTAGATAAGTGATTGACCTACTGCTTTTATAGCCACAATTCAGTAATTTACTGAGTATTATGATATGTTATGTAGATTGAACAGTATGTTTATAGCAAAGTAAGGTAAGATTAACAGCTAATGTTTATTGACTTTCAAATAATATTTTAACCCAATGGATGAATGAGCATATATTCTATTGAACAAAACCTAATTTTATTTTCACCCTGTAGAAGATATAGTTGTCCATGAGTTTGCCAGTCTTTGCCTAGCACATATGGCAGTCGAATATACCAGTAAAGTGCAAATATTTGAGCAAGGTGGACTAGAACCACTTATCAGATTGCTAAGTAGCCCTGACCCTGACGTTAAGAAGAACTCTGTTGAATGCATCTATCACCTCGTACAGGTAATTACAGAAACAGATCAGCATTGTATTTTTATTTCTTTTCTAGAGATTAATCACTTTAAAATATCTACTTCTATTCCTGTAATATCTAGAATTTATCAATTTATTGAAAAATCACTTAATCTCAAAGGGCATGAGTCTCATCTCAGTTTCAGCTATAGTTTTACCTTACTATAGCTCTTTTAACTTCAACTCAGGTACTCTTGATTTAGCCCAGTGTGAGCAAGATCAAAATCAGACCCAAAAACGTTTGTTTAAATAAAAATCTTGTTTTTTCATTTGACAAGTCTTTATCCCCATAGTAAGGGTTACAGAAATGTCTGTTTATCCAAAACTGCACAAATAGAGTGATTAAAATTGCATCTTGCCTTATTCTTGCAAACAAGTCCACAACAATAATTTTGAACTTATTCCTAAATATAGGTGAAAACTGTTGGCAGTTTTTTTTCCATATGGGAGGAAGGTATTGTAATTGACTACTTTCACAATCAGCACTAATGTCACCCATAAGCTGCTTAGCAAAAGAATGGTACAGTTGTATAGTAGTTATTTTCAGAGGCTGGGCAAATCAGTTCAGTAATGAATTCAATTCGTGGTTCTCTTTTTTGGGTGCATCAGAACAAGTCTTTATTCTGAATCACATTTTGCTGTATCTCCTCTCTTGCTATCTTGCTGACTTTGTTGCAGGGTGTATCTGGATAATTGCACCAGGTGCTTGCTTAAATTGATAAGGAAAATTACACACTGTACAGGTGCAATATGCTATTATAAACAGATTATAACTACTTTATTCCTTTACTATTTTAATATGGTATAGTATACATTCTTCATTGAGTGATATAGATAGAGATTAGATATATATGCAAAGGTTGAAATATTAAACAAAACCAGGTTTCAGAGTAACAGCCGTGTTAGTCTGTATTCGCAAAAAGAAAAGGAGGACTTGTGGCACCTTAGAGACTAACCAATTTATTTGAGCATAAGCTTTCGTGAGCTACAGCTCACTTCATCGGATGCAACCAAAACCAGTTTTTTAGTTATGGAAGCCTAAGAGAGGAAACCAGGCAAGTGCCTCAAAGTGTGAAAAAGTCTCTTTTTTGTCACTGAGATAACTTGAAATGAGCAAACTAAATTTCACCAAACTTTTCCAAAAAAATCCACATATGGACTGAGATAAGCATCAACATTTTCGGCCTCCTCAACCATAACTAGGCATTATAATTAATACTTTAGTAATGCAAAATTCTTTGAACTGTTTTGAATATTGTTTTGTGGAATACTTATTTCAATTTCCATTTTCAGTCCAAATGTAAAGAAACCTTCAGAATTAAAAGTTGCAAAATATTAGCTCATTAATATGTTTGAAATCAGAATTTCTTTGTTCTTTATGTAAAGCCAGGAGTCAACATGCTATTATATTGTGCTATCAGTTACACTTACTCAGTTTGGTATTTCGCTGCAGGATTTTCAAAGCCGTGCTGCAGTTCGTGAACTAAATGCTATTCCTGCCTTACTGGAACTGCTGAAATCTGAATATCCAGTTGTTCAATTGTTAGCTCTCAAAACCTTTGGTGTAATTAGCAATGACAGAGAAACCAGGATAATACTGAGAGAAAACCAAGGATTAGATCATCTTTTTAAGATACTGGAAACTAAGGTACAGTTTATTTGAAATATGAACTATAAATGTAAACTTGAAAAAGTGTGTTTCAGATATTCTGTATCCAGTCTTCATCCATGCATCCTACTAAAGAAATGAACTTCATCATTTTAAATTTGTTGTTGTGGGGAGTAAGATTCTTTTTGTCAGATTCTGTTAGTATGTGTGTGTTGTTTTATTGCTGTTTGATTATACCAATGAGCTGACAAGTTGACAGAGTAAACCAAATCCAGAGAAATGTTCATTTATGCTGTTTCTTTGAAAACTATAAACAAAATAAATTTTTTGCCCCTTTTTTGTGTAACCAAAGTAATAATAATTCATTCCAAGGAACTTTGCTTTTTACTTGAAAAGACTGAATGTAGTATGTGTAATCAATGGGTCACTCACGAATGAGGTACTCAACATAAGGATTCATAGATATTTAGGTCAGAAGGGACCATTATGATCATCTAGTCTGACTTCCTGCACAACGCAGGCCACAGAATTTCACCCACCACTTCTACAAAAAAAACCTCACACCTATATCTGTGCTATTGAAGTCCTCAAATAGTAGTTTAAAGACTTCAAGGAGCAGAGAATCCTCCAGCAAGTGACCTGTGCCCCATGCTACAGAGGAAGGCGAAAAGCCTCCAGGGCCTCTTCCAATCTGCCCTGGAGGAAAATTTCTTCCCGACCCCAAATATGGCGATCAGCTAAACCCTGAGCATATGGGCAAGATTCATCAGCCAGATACTACAGAAAATTCTTTCCTGGGTAACTCAGATCTCACCCCATCTAATAGCCCATCACAGGCCATTGGGCCTATTTATGAATATTTAATTATCAAAACCATGTTATCCCATCATACCATCTCCTCCATAAACTTATCGAGTTTAATCTTAAAGCCAGATAGATCTTTTGCCCCCACTGCTTCCCTTGGAAGGTTATTCCAAAACTTCACTCCTCTGATGGTTAAAAACCTTCGTCTAATTTCTAGTCTAAATTTCTTAGTGGCCAGTTTATATCCATTTGTTCTTGTGTCCACATTGGTACTGAGCTTAAATAATTCCTCTCCCTCTCTGGTATTTATCCCTCTGATATATTTATAGAGAGCAATCATATCTCCCCTCAACCTTCTTTTAGTTAGGCTAAACAAGCCGAGCTCCCTGAGTCTCCTTTCATAAGACAAGTTTTCCATTCCTCGGATCATCCTAGTAGCCCTTCTGTGTACCTGTTCCAGTTTGAATTCATCCTTCTTAAACATGGGAGACCAGAACTGCACACAGTATTCCAGGTGAGGTCTCACCAGTGCCTTGTAGAACGGTACTAAAACCTCCTTTCCCTACTGGAAATACCTCACCTGATGCATCCCAAGACCACATTAGCTTTTTTCACAGCCATATCACATTGGCAGCTCATAGTCATCCTATGATCAACCAATACTCCAAGACTTTTCCTCCTCTGTTACTTCTAATTGATGCATCCCCCGCTTATAACTAAAATTCTTGTTATTAATCCCTAAATGCATGACCTTACACTTCTCACTATTAAATTTCATCGTATTACTATTACTCCAGTTTACAAGGTCATCCAGATCCTCCTGTAGGGTATCCCTGTCCTTCTCTAAATTGGCAATACCTCCCAGCTTTGTATCATCCGCAGACTTTATTAGCACATTCCCACTTTTTGTGCCAAGGTCAGTAATAAAAAGATTAAATAAGATTGGTCCCAAAAACGATCCTTGAGGAACTCCACTGGTAACCTCCCTCCAGCCTGACAGTTCACCTTTCAGTAGGACCCATTGTAGTCTCCCCTTTAACCAATTCCTTATCCACCTTTCAATTTTCCTATTGATCCCCGTCTTATCCAATTTAACTAATAATTCCCCATGTGGCACGGTATCAAATGCCTTACTAAAATCTAGGTAAATTAGATCCACTTCGTTTCCTTTGTCTAAAAATCTCAAAGAAGGAGATCAGGTTGGTTTGGCACGATCTACCTTTTGTAAAACCATGTTGTATTTTGTCCCATTTACCATTGACTTCAATGTCCTTAACTACCTTCTCCTTCAAAATTTTTTCCAAGACCTTGCATACTACAGATGTCAAACTAACAGGCCTATAATTACCCGGATCACTTTTTTTCCCTTTCTTAAAAATAGGAACTATGTTAGCAATTCTCCAATCATACGGTACAACCCCTGAGTTTACAGATTCATTAAAAATTCTTGCTAATGGGCTTGCAATTTCTTGTGCCAATTCCTTTAATATTCTTGGATGAAGATTATCTGGGCCCCCCGATTTAGTCCCATTAAGCTGTTTGAGTTTCGCTTCTACCTCAAATATGGTGATATCTACCTCCATATCCTCATTCCCATTTGTCATGCTACCATTATCCCTAAGATCCTCTTTAGTCTCATTAAAGACTGAGGCAAAGTATTTGTTTAGATATTGGGCCATGCCTAGGTTATCCTTGACCTCCACTCCATCCTCAGTGTTTAGCGGTCCCACTTCTTCTTTCTTTGTTTTCTTCTTATTTATATGACTATAGAACCTTTTACTATTGGTTTTAATTCCCTTTGCAAGTCCAACTCTACTTGACTTTTAGCCTGTCTCACTTTATCCCTACATGTTCTGACCTCAATAAGGTAGCTTTCCTTGCTGATCCCTCCCTTCTTCCACTCCCTATACGCTTTCTGCTTTTTCTTAATCACCTCTCTGAGATGCTTGCTCATCCAGCTTGGTCTACAACTCCTGCCTATGATTTTTTTCCCCTTACTTGGGATGCAGTCTTCCGATAGCATCTGCAGCTTTGATTTAAAATAATCCCAGGCCTCCTCTACCTTTAGATCCTTAAATTCTTCAGTGCAATCCACTTCCCTAACTAATTTCCTTAATTTTTGAAAGTCAGCCCTTTTGAAATCAAAAACCCTAGCTTCAGATTTATTTTAATTAATCCTTCCGTTCAGTTTGAACTGAATTATCTCATGATCACTTGAGCCAAGATTATCCCCTACAACCATTTCTTCTATGAGGTCCTCACTACTCAGCAAAACCAAATCTAAAATGGCATCCCCTCTAGTTGGTTCAGCAACTACTTGCTGAAGGAATCCATCAGCTATCGCATCTAGGAAAATCTGAGCCCTATTATTATTACTAGCACTCGTCCTCCAGTCTATATCTGGGAAGTTAAAGTCTCCCATGATCACACAGTTTCCATTAGTATTTACTTTATTAAAAACATTAAAAAGGGCTCTATCCATATCCAATGGCAGAATGGGGCCGAAGAGCAGCAGCCTAGGTAGTTTTTGTCATTGCTGTGGTACTGATCAGTAATATGCGAAGAGATGATAAAGTAAAGGAAGGGTTTCTCTCATATTAACCATCATCTGGGAAGCACATTTGGTTTTGTTTTTCAGCCTGTCAGCTTATTCAGATAAAAATAAGATCTCACCACATCTAAATGGTAGTTGGAAAATCTTTTTTCTTTTTTCTTTCTTTCTTTTTTTTTTTTACAGCTATACCTGGTGAGTGAGTGGGAGAATCACTAGTTTTCATGCTGTGTTTATTGTTTTATCATTTTGGTTCTGTTAACACTCTTTTTATAATGACATTACTGTAACATTTTTCAAAGGATTTTAAATAGTGGAAGAATTCACATGGCTTAATTTTATGTGACTTTTCCATTTTCTATATTTTGTCCAGTGCTAGTGCAGTTTCAGAGCCAATCTTGTTCCCTTAATTTAGTCTAAACACCAGTGATTCCAGGTTCCATTCCTGACTTGGATACTCCACTGCTCCAGGCAGAGGTGATGCTGTCCCACTGGGGGCACTAAGCAGGAATGATTGTCCCCCCACCCCCATCACATAATAAAAAAGCGAATGCGGGCCCCCTTGAGCTGCTTGGGATCCTAAGTAATTGCTTAGTCTGCTTATGCCTAGAAGCGGCTCTGGCTCTGAGATCTGGAACAAGTCACGTGAGCACCTCCTGCCTCAGTTTTAACCATCTGTAAAATGAGTATAATGATACTTATTTCCCTTGTGGGAGTATCATGAGGCTTAATATATAGTAAAGCTCTTTGAAGTCTTAAGATATCAGGTTCTCTCTAAGGACCTGATCCAAAGCCCATTGAACTCAATGGGAGTCTTTCCATTTTTTTCATAATTATAACCAAGCTTGACTCCATGTTAACACAGGTTGTGGAGTCTGTCAGCATAGTTTTAAAAGATGCATAATGGATTTCATTGTGTACCAGAATGTGCAATAATTAATTATGGTAATTATCTTAGAAGCTAGAAAAGTTAAAGATATTTTAATCTTCATTAGAAGACTTTTTATTTTTTCTTACTAGGAATTTAATGATCTTCATGTGGAAGCTCTTGCAGTAGTGGCAAATTGTCTTGAGGATGTGGATACTATGCAACTAATTCAGCAGACAGGGGGCCTTAAAAAGCTACTTTCATTTGCAGAAATGTCTACCATTCCTGATATTCAGAAGAATGCAGCAAAGGCAATTACTAAAGCAGCTTATGATCGTAAGTTACTTTTTAAAGTTCTATGTTAATTTCTTATGGAAATCCTGTGGGGGTGAATTTTCAGCCAGCCTGAGGGTCACTTCCCAGCATAAGACTACTAATCATGCTGGGAAGAAATAATTCCATAAATGAATTGCAGTTGCAAATCTTAGTGGTCAAAATAGCAAACAGGTACTAAATTAGATATAGAAACTGCTAATATGTGGGTATAAAATGCTTCCAAAAAGGGAATCTTGGCCTCTGAAAATTTGGGCCTTTATCTTTTATTTAATGATTTTAGATACCTGATATCTCAAGCGTTGTTTGCCATTAAATATTCCTCATTGGCAGTGGATAAACCTGAATAACAATAATTGGGCTAGTCCCCTCTCTTAAACCTACAACTGCTCATCTAAATGTCAGGCAAGTTAGGGTATAAATTCCTGTTGCAGGGACATAATAGACTTTAAATGGCCTGCAGATTAATAAATCCCTGTGGAATTAGATAGCTTTTTTTCTTCTCTTTTAATAATTATTCATAGCATGGTTCCTATTTTTGCAGCCAGGTTTTTTTAATTCACCATTGAGTTGAGAATTATGCAGAACAAACTCATCACTTTTGCCCATGAGGATGCTGTTTAAATAAGTCTATACATGAAAATACCTCTGGTGGGAAGAGTGGAGAGTTACTGCAGCTCCTCTAGGAATGAAAAATAGTGTGGGGTGAGTAAGGTCAATCCCTCATGTTGTAATCACCTCCAGAGTGGTACCACCCCCACTAGGGAGGCTGGCATATGCTAATTCAAACTGAGTCTCCAGAGACCAAGAGACAAAGAAAAGATTTTCAGTATAAAAGGCTGAGTTTAAAATAACAGGGCTTTCTTTCTGACCCAGTAAACAGACAGGACCTTCTGTCCAGCAGCGGTTTCAACCTATGAAGAAGGGTCCTATCTGTCTGCTGAAACAAAATGAAGGCCTTGAGTCAGTTCAAGTTCATACTTTTATACCAAAAGCCCTTTCTTTGTCTCGTAGTTTCTGGAAAACCCAGCTTGAACTAGTATACACAAACCACCTTGGGGTGGAACTTCTCTGGAGTTGTTCACAATCTCAGAAGTAATCGCCCCCTACAGTTTCAGTTCCTATAGGATAACACAATCATATGTAAACCATTCATAAATGTAATACAAAGGTCCCCAAAGATACTGCATGGGGTTGCAATATCTGTCAAATCTCCTCCATAAAGAAGTGGGTATAATTAGGGTGCTTGTCTAGCATCCTAGGGGAACCCACAAGTTTGTTCCCTGGCTGGCATGTCTGCCAATACCTTTTATAACTTGAGACTTCAATAATGCACATAATAAACATTCTCTCCCCCTAGCCAAATTTCTTTGTCTATCCCACCTCCTTGGAGGTCAGGCCTCGGAACCCAGATGGCCTAAACTCAGCTTTGTTGAGGGGAGGAGGAAGATTATTGCTTTTGTTCCCCGCAGTTGAGTTGAGATGAGCAGCAGTTCCTCTCCCCTTTGCTCAGGGTCCTTTATATTTTCATAGACCACCAGGCAGTCACAGACTGGAGGGGGCAGGGAAGCTCCCCCTTCTTTGTTGCTATCTCAAGTATCAGTTTCTTTGTTACCTGCAAGGGATACCCAACCCTACTTATCCCTGTCACCTGCTCCATTTGCATTTTGGCTGACATGGTCCCTTGCAGCTGGGAGCTAACTGAGGGGTCCAGTTAACCCATTCTGCCTTAAAAGCCATAATATCCTTCCCCAACAGCAAAGAAAATGGAATGTCTGCTAGCACATCTACAACCAATACTCCTGACCTTCCTGGGTCTATATGGAAGTCTGTGCTGTAGATAGAGTGAAGGCTTTTACACTGGGAACTTTAACCCAGGATTCACACCCTGGGAGCATTTGATGGGGTTTCACTACATGGAGTTTAACTATGTGGAGTTCTAGCAATCCCAGTATCTCTCCATACAATTATTGTTTCCCCGTTAACTATCGCCTGCTCCCACTGGTGATCAGATGAATGTGCACCCCAGAGAGTGTAGCATGACATGTGGGCAGTAGCTTCGTGTGTGAATGGTTCAGCATGAAAATTACATGCCATTGATGAACTGGCTCCATCTCCAAAGGTTTGGTCGCACAGTGTATTCTGAAGTTGCGGTGGAGCTGGCCTTCCCAGCACTGCACTGGGCCTCAGTGGTTGGATTGGGAAATCCCAGGCAAAATGACCCAGCTGGCCACAGATGGGACATCATATTTCCACATCCATCCCAGGGCTTCTCAGAGGAGGCTTCCCACCCCTCCTCCCCCAATTTCCCAGCTACGGTTACATCTCTAGGATCTTTTCTCATTGCCGCATCCTCTGTTCTACCCTTTGTGGCACCATCTCCATGATCCCGTGCATGTCCTGTTGGAGAAAAAGGAAGCTCTTCTGGCTCCTTGTCTGTAGGGGATACCCCAACCTGCCTCAGATTGTCTGAATGCAGCATTGTTTACCCTCTCCAATTTCTTCAGATCACAGGGCAGCATTATACATTTAATTTATGTACATTTTGTAAACATATTATCTAATTTAATATACAGTTAGAAAAAACTCTCCTTCCCCTCCCCTGCCTCTCAGGTCTCCTTTCTTGTGTCCTCATCTAATTCTTCTCATAACCTCCCTAGATTGACCAATTGAATATTTACAATTATTTTTATTGCAAATGCTATATGAAAAGAGCAACTCTGCCCCTCCAGTCCACACTATGGATCTCTGTTCATTTTCTCCACTTGTCAATGGAAGTTCCACAGGTGTAATGTCAGTGAGAGTTCTGTACATTGATGATTGGCACCGTAGATTGGAGAGGAGGAGATTGTGTCAAGACTTTCATGATGTATTTTTCCAGTGTTGCTATTTTATTTTGACATTCTGGGAAAAAATGAACAATAAGAATGTAAACACCATTTTTCATAGTCCTATGACAGATTTCCATGTACTGCATTCCAGGTAGATTACTTATGTTCCTACTACTACAATATATTTTTATTTCTTCTTTCACATTTACTTCTTGCATATAAACACATACCTCTCTTCCCCCTTTGCTCACCTTTTTTTGCATTTTGGTGTCCTACTGTTTTAACATCTACAGTACGACATTCCTAAAGCACATGCTGACAAGAACTACTCATAATTATTACTGTATCATACAATCTTATGTCCTTGGATATAACTGCCAGTGATGATGCATCTTCTTGTTACCTTTCTTTACAAACGCAATCAATGGTCTCAGTATAAAGGCTTGGTCTCTTCTTCAGACTACGATATATGGCGTAGATCAGTGGTCTCCAACCTTTTTATGCCCAAAATCATTTTTTGAATTTAAGGGCAACCCAGGATCTGCCCCTCCCCTTCCCCAAAGCTCCTCCCCACTCACTCCATCCCCACCTCTCTCCGTCATTTGCTCTCCCCCACTCACTCACTTTCACCAGACTGGCGTAGGGGGCTGGGGTTCGGGAGCGGCTGCAGGCTCTGGGCTGGGGCCGAGGGGTTTGCAGTGTAGGAGGGGGCTCTGGGATGAGCCTGGGGCAGGGGGTTGAGGTGCAGGAGGGGGTAAGGGGTGCAAGCCTTGGGAGGGAGTTTGGGTGCAGGAGGGGGCTCTGGACTGGGGCAGACTGTAAGAGTGCAGGAGGGGATATGAGGTGCTGGCTCTAGGAGAGGGCTCGGGGCTGGCTCTGCGAGGGGGCTTGGGGCTTGAGCTTGGGATGCAGGAGGGAGTTTGGGGGGCAGGAGGCGGTATGGGGTGCTGGCTCTGGGAGAGGACTCAGGGCTGGTTTAGGGTGCTGGCTCTGGGAGGGGGGTTTAGGGCTGGGGCTTGGGGTGCGGCCTTCCGCCGGGCAGCACTTACCTCCGGTGGCTCCCGGTCAGTGGTGTACATGGCTGCCGCTAAGGCAGGCTCCCTGCATACCCTGGCCCCACACTGCTCATGGAAAGGGCCAACACGCCCCTGCAGCCCTGGGGGTGGGGAGGTGGCATGTAGCTCCACGCACTGGCCCTCTCTGCAAGCACCACCCCCGCAGCTCCCATTGGCCACAGCTCCCCGTTCCCAGCCAATGGGAGCTGCGGGGATGGTGCTTACAGGCAGGAGCAGTGTGTGGAGGGAGACCCCTGCCCCTCTGCTCCGGGGCCGGACTGGCCGCTTCCGGGAGTGGCGTGGGGCCCAGGCAGGCAGGGAGCCTGTCTTAGCGGCAACTCCGCTGCACTGCTGGAGATCGCAATCGACTGGGAGATCCTCTACGTACACACTGTAACGAGCGTGATCAGGTAAGGTGAGCTATTATCAGGTAAGGTGAGCTATTACCAGCTATTACCCTGCTGTCCTGCTGGTAATAGCTCACCTTACCTGATCACTCTCCTTACAGTGTGTATGGTAATTCCCATTGTTTCATGTTCTCTGTGTATATAAATCTCCCCACTGTATTTTCCACTGCATGCACCCAATGAAGTGAACTGTAGCTCACGAAAGCTTATGCTCAAATAAATTGGTTAGTCTCTAAGGTGCCACAAGTCCTCCTTTTCTTTTTGTCCAATATATTAGCTCCTAGACATGGCACCAGGGAGAGAGGGAGATGTTAAATACGTTGCTGCTAGCCAGGTTCATGATCTAAAGTTAACTTCTCAGCTGAAGAAAAGGTGGAACAGTAGCAATTACCAGGAACAGTGTAGGGGAAAATCAGAATCAACAGTATGCAATTGTGTTTTGGGAATTTTTTGTACTGTAAATGTACTAAACATGCAACATTTGTAAATTCATTGCATTAGTAGTATGCCTAGTGTGTGGTATAGTACTCGATTATTACTCTGATTAAAATGTAAGTGCATGACTTCTTGGGCAGAAATCCAATATAGTGCATTATAGTTCTGAGTCAGCATGTGATTTCATCATTAAAATCTGTTATAACTATACAGTAATCTGCCCTTTGCAGGTTTGGTGAACACAGCTGGATTTTGAGAACATTTCCAGCAGGGTAGAGAAAAAGAATTATGGTCTTGCATTAAAATGGAAAATTGTACCTCTGTTATGATGGTACATGTATCTATTTTCTGACGGCAACAGTTAGCTATAAACCAGTGCCAGTTTCTGAAATAAATAGTGTTGGCAGCTGTAGCTGAAGTTGCTTTTTTCCTGATGGATGTGATGCTAGTAAACACATTTTTTTGCATGTCATCCTTCAAAAAAGTATTTGCCTTAGCTTTTCTTTGTTGGGAAAGATGTCACAAAAGGGTTACACTGTATGAACAAAGCAACTTAGGTGGGATAAATATTTTATTAAATTTTGGACACCATCTTTAGTTCAGTGTTCTGTTTATATAAGGCCAAACTGGCAGTTTAATCACTGTGCTTTGTTGTGCCACAAAATTATGTATTTAATACAGTTCCTTTGCAGGGCTTTTATTTTGTACATCCAGAGTTATGGATTGCAAGCTTTGACCCTGATTCACTGTTGTCTCACAAATAATGCAGTCATTTACATGAGTGCAAAGTGAGAACAAAATGTATTTAAAATTCTGTAATTGTAATTTAGTAGTATTTTTCATCCACTTTGTCCTGACTTTGCTTTGGTATAAATTATTACAGAAGGTGCAGGGCAATAGTGTATTGGGCTCTTTGTTCCTAGTTTTGGGGTAAAAATGAGTAGTAGTAAAAAAAAAACAACCTAAACAAGAGTTAGTTCATGATGGGCTCAGTGCTCAAAAACAGGATGAGGTGTTGGTCCTCCAGACTCTGCTGGCTGCCTGTGTCTGATTGCTCTGTGTACTATTAGATCAATATATTCAAATAATTCCAGGGTCAAGAGATTTATCACTACAAATATGGTGTTATCATCTGAACATGAGAAGTGCTTTGGTGCAAAATGATGCTGCTTTATTGTACATAAAAGGCCCATAATAAAACCCAAATGGACAAGCTCATGCAAATAGAGATAGGGTCAGCCAGAAATATTTGTCCTTAGAATACAATTGAAAAATGAAACTTAAAATGTTAATAATTTTCTTTATATGTACACTGTAATAGTATACAATAAAGTCAAATCAAAATCTGCTGTTCTAGATTATTTCTAATACATTTGAAATGGCTATATTTACTAGTTTAAAGGAACTACTGCAGAGTATTAATGTTCTTAATTTGCCTTCATGTAGGCAGTAAATATATTTTTTACCTATATTTGAAAAAAATGTTCATCCTTAATCACACATGGCATTTGGAAAAATAAGAATAGCATTTTAAAAAAATACAAAAATTTCATATAGCAACGATGAATTTGCCATATCAAAACAAATTACTGAAGCAAGAAGACTCCCCTAGAGAGCGTTATTAGGGATTACAGACTAGTTTGGCAAGCAACAGGTCGGAAGCAAAGTCTATTACTTGTCAAATCAGTCTGTAATCCCATTTAATGCCCTCTTGAGAGAGTTGGCTGTTACACGTCAATGCTGTGCCAAGTTTCTTTCTGCTGTTGCTTAAAATTCTCCCAACACTTGAGTTTTTGTGTATTATACTTTGTGATGTAGATTATGTAGCTTTGATGAGTATAAAATATGTAGAAACTGTCTGGAAAAGAGAAAACGATAGCCTTGTGATATGTATGCATTGAGCCATTTCTGCAGTAATAGGGCTTGATTGAAAATCTAGTTTTCATTAGCTTTATGGTCAAACTGAGAATTTTTTTAAGCCAAACCAAAACTATCACAGAAGTTCCGTTTTCATTGAGAAGAACGATTTTAAATAACATAAAATAATAAATTTATAAAATGAATGTAAATGTTTTAGATAATATTAAAATTATCTTCTTTTTTTCAGTTAGACCACAGATTGCGGGCTGCATCTTGGCCTAGGCTCTGATTCAGCAAAGGATTTAAATAGTTGTGGCAAAAATGTCAAAAGTGGCTAAGTGATTTATATATCTGTCTCATTGAAAGTCAGTGGAATTTGAGCTCTTGAATCACTGATGAACTTTTGAAAATTTTACCCCATATGCATAACTTTAAGCACATAAGTAGCCCTATTGCTGTCAATGGGACTACTCACAAGCATGGGTTATGCACATGCTTGAGTGTTTTGTTGGCTCTCGGCCCTAGTGATTACAGTGATGAAGAGCAGCAGATATGCTATCCAGTGCTTCCTTTGCTACAGACTCCTGCCAGTCAGGGAGGATGCACTCTGGTGTGCACTTTATTGTTACCCTGAACAGGATTGCTGACAGCAACATGTAGCCTTGCTGGGTGAAGGGAGGGAGCTGGACATGCTCTCTAAACTTCAGACCACACCTATTTTGAGGTAGGTGAGTTCTCCAAGCTTATTGGCCAGCCCTCCTTTGAGTGCTGTGGAAAGATCTTGTGCTCCTGCTTGTATAGTAGGAGGAGACTTCCTGTGCACTCTTCCTTGCCCTGGCACATCAGTGCAGCATAGGGCAAGATTGAGCCCCAAGTCTTTTAACATTTCCTTTAAACTGCATTTTAATGAAGAACTATGAGTTGCACGTTTTTTATCTGCCCTTGCCTTTTGTTTGGTCCATATAATACTGTGACTGATATGGGAACCATCAAGTACACAGCTTAATTGTTCTTTTACTTGTATATTTGCCTTTAAATTTCATGTACATGACTCCTATTAGCATGAACTGAGGGAAGAATATATCCCTTAAAGAGTATGACTGTAGTAAACAGAAAATGTGAAAGCTGAATCACTGAGTCTGCACAACCAGGAAACAAACTCTCCACTGAATTTGGTTATTTGTGTTTAAAGCTGGTTATTAAAATGCATCCTTTTTATCTCCCTTGCCTTTTAATGCGGGTCTCTGCCAGGAGAGGTGACAGCTGAGGAACCGGGAGCTAGAGTGAGTGCCCTTGGTGGACCAGGAGGGAGGAATATAGGTGCAATTGCCTTGAACTGTGATGCCACACACTGGGCTTTAGTCTCTCATTTGTATCAAAAGCAAGGAACAAATGTGTGAGATCAAATAGATGTCGTTCTCATTTGCAATCCTATTTCTATGAAGATTAATGCTATTTTTTGTTTTTGTGTAAAGCTGAAAATAGAAGAATTTTGCATGAAGAAGAGATTGAAAAGTGCCTTGTAACCCTTTTGGGAACTGACAATGATGGTGCTAAAGCTGCTGCTTCTCAAGCTATTTCTGCTATGTGTGAGAGTTTAGCAAGCAAAGATGCTTTTGGAATCCAAGGTGAGTAAATTGGGGAGGAGATGGAATTAGCTCCATTAAGCTCCATTTTGTAAGGACCATATTATCATTTTACAGTTTCCCATGGGTTATTTAAAGCAGCATATGTACAATTATTTTTTTAAAGGGATTCCCCAGCTAGTTCAGTTGCTAAGCAGTGAGAATGAAGAAGTAAAAGAAGGTGCTGCCATAGCTCTGGCTAATCTGACAACAGCCAGTCCTAGCAATGCAAGGTAAGTGTGCAATTTGTAAATAACTATGTAAAATACTAATCTGGACATATTTTGATTTTAAAAAAATTCTCCAGTCAATGTCCTAGATCTCTAGTCAATGTCAGTGGGAGTTACACATACATAAAAGAGAGCACAGCATAGTAGCCAAGAGGCCAGACTTTAACCTGCTGCAGCTGCCAGGGGAATCTCTTGATGATGATGAGCTGGTGTGGCAGTTCTATGCCACCCCCATTAGTCCTCAATGTAAGGGATGTGGTCAGGACATCCCTACACTATGGTAGTGTCCAGCTGCAAACTGTTCATTGAGGCTCTGGGCAGCCGATGTAAATTACAGCAGCCTTTGGCTGAGCTGATCTATGCACAGATCAAGGATCAGGGGAATGTAAAGCTGGCTTAAATTTACTTTTCTGTTATCACACAGTCCTGCACCAACCTTAGATGGACTGGTGAATCTGATCTTAGGTCTGCTATGTAGATCAGAAAGCAATAACTTACATTAAATGGGTATGCAGGATGAATGCTGTGTGACTATAATTACTTGCTAACTTCACTTGTAAATGAAACTCTTTTCTGAGTCATAGATGAGCCAAAGAGTAACTTTGGACTCATGAATGATAAGGCCAAACCCTTTGCTGATACAAATCAGCATAGCTCCAGCTCACCAGCTGAGAATCTGGCCCCTATTTGTTTTATATTCATATAACTAAAAAAAATACTAACCCTTTTTTTAATTTGGAAAAAAAAATCCAGCCTGAGATACCGTAATCCATATTCATCCTAGAACTGGGTTTGTTTATTGTTTGTTTTTGTTTTTGGTTTTGTTTTTTGTCTCACTTGTAAACCACTGAAAGTAAATACATTTAATGGGAATGCAGATATATCTTTAAATGATGTGAATTTGCTGTGTAATGATGTTGAGGATATTCTAGTCACAAATGGGACTAATGAGAATAGAATCATTTTATTAGTTATGTATTAGTTCCTTCTTATAAGCCCCCAGAGTGTTAAATCATAAAGCCAACAGCAACATATACATTTTGATGTGATAAGAACAGCATAGTGGCTAACTTAAAGAGGGGTAGCCACTGGGGAAGAAGCACTGCGTCCCTGACTGAGGGAGACTGCTGAGGAGACCAAAAAGCAGTGAGCGAATGGTGTGACTGAACTATAGAGACATTTTGAAGTTAGGCCCCTCCAATTTTATGTCCGCCTTGCCCAGAGGCATAGGCGCCGACTCCATGGGTGCTCCGGGGCTGGAGCACTCACGGGGAAAAATTGGTGGATGCTCTGCACTCACTGGCAGCTCCCAGCCCTCCCCGGCCCCAGCTCATCTCCACTCCGCCTCCTCCCCTGAGTGCACTGCCGCTCCACTTCTCCCCCTAGCTCCCACCGCTTGCTGCACGAAATAGCTGTTCGCGTCGCGAAGCGCTGGGGGGAGGAGGAGGAACGAGGTGCGCTCTGGGAAGAGGCAGAGCTGGGGCGGGGATTTGGGGAAGGGGTCCAATGGGGCAGGGAGTGGGCAGAGTTGGGGTGGGGACTTTGGGGAAGGGGTTGTGATGGGGGTGGGGCAGGGGCGGGGGAGAGCATCCACTGGCACCTGGAAAAGTTGGCGCCTAGGCCCAGAGGGACCTAAGGTTGTGGCAAGATGCTGCAAAAGGTCCACAATGGGATGCTAGTTGAGCTGTTATGCTTATAGAAAGCACACACAATTTTTTTATAGGGGAAAAGGCAACACGCTGCATTTATTGAGAATACAGCAGTTAGCATATGCTTTTTAGTTACACACATACACCATGCACACAGTTTTGCCAGTCGATGTTTATAGTTGTTAGTTTAGAGTTTGGATTGATTTAGTGGCCAGCCAGATTGGTTCCAGAGGGGAGCTGGGCTTTGTTGGTTGCGATTTGATGCTTTTGGAGCTGTTGGCTAGACGAACCCAAAGCTCTGTGGCAATGCATTTTGTTTTTATAGTTTTTTGTTGTTGTTGAAGTTTATAGATTTTGCTGTGTTACTTTATAATTGATTATTTTTTAGTGGGTGTTATTTTTTGATGGCTTAAAACACCTTTGGGAGGGTTATTTTGTTTGGTTTTGATTTAATTAATTAGTTTGTGTTTTAAGACTGCTAGCCTTTACTTTAGGGTTGTTAATTTGCCCCTTTTTAACCATGGGTGCGCATTGATTTTTTTTGGCGTTTTGGTGGGGTTGTTTGGCCATTTGGCTTTAAAAATGGCCTTTATATATATATATATATGATAGATGCATACATTTTTTTATTTATGCAAATAGTTTTTTGCAGAGACCTTTAAAAGGTAACAAATAGCAGTGTTTTATGTTGAATAAGAAAGGCATTGTAAATTAGACCTTACCAAATTTTGTAATTATTTTTTTTCATACTGGGGCTTGGGCTTTTGAAATTTTTAAAATTTAATTAACATAGACACAGACACAACTTTGTTTGTTGCTTACAAGGCATAAAAAGAAAATGGTTAATATTAGTATTTACTATTTTATTTATTTATTTTAATATTTTAATTTTTATTATAAAACATACAATGTATACAGCCAAAACATAATTAATTATATAGCACGGTACCCATGGTACAACATAATTTCCCTTTTGACCCTTTGAGAACAATTTTTGAGTGGGTCATATTTTATATAATTGTTTTATAGCAATGTATTGGGAGGTAATTTGAGCTTGTGGTTGCAAGTTGATAAACATTTTTTTTATTTAGCAACACATACAGAACATTTTAATTGGGCAAACACAGGATAGTACCAATACAATTAACAATGGATGAAGCATGATTGACAATATACCTTTGGAAGTGGGAGACCAGCTTGTAAAAACATTATACCGATGATATGCAGTGAGGTTTTTTTAGAATTAGCGATTTTAATTATGTTTTTATTTGCATGTGTTATTTGGAGAATTTGTTTTTTTTATATTTTTGGGGGGTTTTTTATTTGTTTTTTTTCCCCAAAAACTGAGTTATTTTTGCTTTTAGAAGCAGATGATTAGCTAATTTTTGCCAATTTAAACCAAGGGAGATGGAGAAGTTAATCAAGGGGATGATTACGGTACTTTGGGCATTTTTTAGCTTGCAGAGGTAATAAGTGTGGTTATTGGTGTATAAAGAGCTAGCATTGCATTTACACTTATTTACTGGTGGCTGGCTAATACTTTTATTTTTTTTAAATATTGTTTTTTAGGATATAACACATATACATTGTTCCTTATATAAAACACGTGTTACATTTTTAAGTTTATTTTAAATGTATGTTCTTAACAATGTAGTTTTATTGCATGGTTTTATGGTGGCAGGCAGAGAGAGGCATACCCATTTACGAGGGCCCCACTTTGTACATTGTTGTGTATTTAGTAGGTTTTTGGGTGGGGGGTTGGCCCATTGATCCATAATGCGAGGTAACTAGAAAGATCCCATGGTCAATTTTGATAGTGGCCTGGCTTTTCATAGCTTTGCCTTTACAGATTGTTGATGGGCAATTTTGATAATAATTTTTTTTAGTAGCAGTTTAGACTTAATTATGCTGAAGGCATATTCTATTTATTAATGCTTATAGGCATTAAATAAAGATTTTTGTTGTGGTTGTTTTAAAAGGTGTTTTAGTACTTTAATGTTTTTTGATATTACCCAGAACATTTTATGTTCGAGTGATGCTAAATGGAGAATTTGCATTTTAGTGCATTTTATGGCTAAGGCAGTTTTATTTTTTAATTTTAGCTGTTTTTTTGATGTTTATAAGGTGAACTTTAAGTTCCACTTCCCCGTTCCAGGCATAAATATTGGTATTTTTTAGTGGCCTTAGGATTTGATTAGTATTTTTATTGTATTATTTTAAGAGGATTTTTGGTTTTTTGATGGGGATTTATGTTTGATTAGTTAGGAGGGAATTATTTTTGACCAGGGAAGAGATTGTGGTGGGCTTTCCCAAGATATTTTTAAATATCTGGGACATACAGGCCCCCAAGAACATACAGGGACTGCTAAACCTTATACTGGGGTTTTATGGATTTGGAGGGTAGTAGTGGTTGAGCCAGCGCTTTATGTTTTGAATTTTAGGAGGGTTTTTTTGTAAAAAGTTTGACATTATTATTTATGCAAAAAATTTAATTTGTGAGACATGTACCCATTTTAATTTTTTTTTTATACAGTAAACTAGTGGGCTGAGGCGGTCCACTATGGAATAGGGTTTTGTTTGTTTTGATTTTAGTGCGTGGCCCCCCTTTTTTAATTTGAGATATATGGTTTGATTTTTTTGTTTTTTATAGGGCTGTTTTAGTATGCTTTTGTGCATGGATTTTTTTATTTATTTGTTTGATAGCTTGATTAACCCTATATTGGAGAGTGGTTTTGTTTTTTTGCAGCTGCTTAAGCCACTGTAAATATTTACGCTGTGTTACATGAGGGATTTTTTTTTTTATTTTGTGTTAGGTGGCTAATGTTAATTATAAGGCGCATTGATTCTCCAAACGTAATTTGAAAAGGCTGGATTTTGGTTTTTAGCCTGTTGCTGCTGCGAATAGCTGCTAGAATTAGAGGCAGCTTGTCTGGTGAATTTTTTTGGTATGACTTACTATTTTTTTAATGCTTTTTTAATGCCTAGAGGTGTTGGCTTGATATTGCCAGAGACGTGGGTATACCCGATCCCCCTGCTGACCCCTATTCCCTCGTCCTTGGGAATGACCCCTAGCATATTCCCATTGATCCCTTTTATACCACTTTTGTTTGTATAGATAACTGCTGGTTTTATTGCCACCACATAAGAGACCTTTTTTGTATATATATATATATTCTACATTATATATATTTGTATATTACACCTACCTATCTGTTCCCCAAATGTTGCCATTAGACCCAGGAAACCAACGTTGTCGGTGACTACCAACCTATCCAAAGTGGCTCTAATTTCCGAGGCTGCACATACCCACATGAGTTGATAGACTTCCAGGGTAGTTAGCCCTTCCCTTTTTTG